GTTTGTAAAGAAAATCTTAACCTGATCTTATTTTATTTTATTTTTATTTTTTTAAAAGATTTTATTTTAGAGAGAGACACAGAGAAAGAGAGCATGAGTGGGGAGAGGGGCAGTGGGGAAGGGTGGGGGAGAGGGACAAGCAGACTCCACATATCCAGGTTCCAGAGCCTGGAAAGGGGGGCTTGATCTCAGGACCCTGAGATCATGACCTCAGTCAAAACCAAGAGTTGGCCACTTAGCTGACTGAGCCACCCAGGTGCCCCATGAACCTGATCTTATTTTAGAGTACTAACTTAGCCTACATTTCCAGACAAATGGCCTATTCAGTTTTTTTATTTTTCCAATAGGAGAATGTGAACTCTATCTCTGCTTGGTAGTCTGACAAAGCAAATGAATGTGTGAACATGAACTTACAGAAATATATTTCATGTTTTGGCAGAGAACTTTGCTTTGAACTTTCTGCTGTTCAATTATCATCAAAAGCTTGGTTGCTGAGACATTGGATCAAAGTGGTGAAAGAAGGAGCAGAAACGGGTATGTTCACTTCCAATTTCTCATTGAAAAAGCTAGAAGATACTAATAGGTAGCCAGACAATAGCAATGTGAGTTAGGGATAAAAACAATCCAGAATAACAAAATTCTGATGGGATTTCCACAAATTAAAATCTTGATGAAAATATTGTTCAAATTTGTGTTTTTGTTGATTTTCTAATCTAGTTGTTTCCTCTATTGCTGAGAGAGGTGTTAATGTCTCCACTATGATTGTGGAATTTTTTATTTATCCTTTTAATTCTGTCCAGCTTTCCTTCATGTATTTTCAAGTTCTGTTAATAGGTACATATTTAGGATTGTTTTATAATTTATTTGTGATTTATGATTGTTATGGCCTCCTGGTTACTCTTCTATTGTTATGACATGTCTGCAAATACTTTCTGGTGTTGAAATCTATTTTATCAGATATTAATAAATCCACTTCAGTCTTTTTAAAAAAAAATCTTGATAAAGACTGAGTAAGAGATACATTCCTGTCTAAATCGAAATCTGGGGAACCCTCTACAGCAAGCCCCAGGTAAGGCAGGAACTAAGATCCTCTGTCTACCCCTCACTGTGGTGGCCCTTCCCCAACTCCCTGGACCCGGCTTCCTGACCCTGCTGCAATTATGCTTCCAACAGCTACCTATTTTCTGTATCCAGAGGCTACAGTCCCCAGGCCTCCTCACGGCTGGGGACGAGGGAACTTGTGGTGGTCACTGCACCGTGCAGTGAACGCCCCTCGGGGACAGTCCTGGGAAGCAGGCGTGGGGAGCACACACTGAGAACAGCTACAGGTTGCATCTGAATATCTTGCCCTGCAGAGAACCCAGCAGGCAGAGGGAGAGCTCTCTCCCCATCCAGTAGATCCCACTAGAGGATGCCCCGTGGTCCACAAAAAGGGAAGGGCAGATTGGAAACCTACTGTGGAAGAAGCATGGACCTGAAGGAAAAGCTGGAAAATTCACAGTGTGTTGAGCTAGGGACAATTTACCGTTCCCATCTTTTGGCAAATTGTAGGTATGGAGAGATTTCTGTCCCTCGATGTATGAATAGGGAGAGGAAAAAAAAATACCATGAGGCTTATAAGAGGGGCTGTGATGCACAGCGAAAGGTAGCAAAAATACTGAGAGAAAGAGCTTATTTTGAACGTGATTTTCTATAGAAAATATAAGTAAAACCATATGCTAGGTGCTCCCAATAAGATACAAACAGTATGGGAAACGAAGTACAGGGTGCTATATGGCAAAAATTAAGTAAGTCATATATTCATTGGATCTAACACAATTTAGGTCTCCTTCCCTGTCAGGCCTGTGGCACTTCCCTATCCCCACACCTTTGCACTTGCTGTCCTTCACCCCACACCTTTGTCCTTGCCAGTGCCTTACTCCCTCCAGAGCCTCACAAATCCCATTCATGCTGCCCGCATGCTACCTCCTCTGACGGCCTTCCCAGCTGCTGCAGGCGCCTCCTCACTGCTTACTCTACACACCAGCCCGGTGGGTTTTCACACCCCAGCACTGGACATTTCAAATCGTATTTGTAAGTCACAGTAGCATAACCGTGAGTTCTCAATGCCAGGACTCATATTTCATTTATTTCTATACCCCTTACTCATCATAGTTTCTGATATACAGTTAAGAATAATAAATCAATGAGAGCCTTGGAAAGATAATGATAGGTGACAACCTCTTTTTATTACTGGGACCTCAATGACTGTCGGTAGGACAAAGGCAAAGGATAAGGGGGAATGACAAAATGAGAAAAAGAATTAAAACACACTGAGAATCTGCTGTGCTCAAGACACTGAAGTGCTGATTATACACCAAGGGGGCATTTGACATCTTTCCCTCCTTTCCAAAGAATTATACTTTTAGCATAGTGCCACAGACTAACTCACTGACCCTCAGGGCATGACATCATGGCCATTGGCGGTCATCTTTTTAAGAGATTAGTGCAGCACCAGAAATCCTCCATTGAAAAATGGATGCTCAAAGGTTACTGGCAAAGTGATTTTGGAAAACTTGAATAGCATTTCCCCTTAGAAATGCTATTCAGTGTGCATAAGTCCTTAGACCAGACTGCAAGTACTTATTTAACCCAGAAGGCTGCTAGATTTTATCAGAAACTCCATCACCAGATAGCCAAAATGGTCCTATAACCAAAGTGGTACTTCCTGCCTGTCTCACAGATGCGCTGTGAATCAACTAAAATAAGGCGAGAGAGACTCCTCTGAAGAGTGCACCATGTTGTAAGAACCAGGGGTTTAACTATTCTAAAACCCAACTGCACATTAAAATACTGTCTGCTGGAAAATGCATGCTCCCTCTGCAAATTCCACCACAGCAGTGGGAGCACTACTCTCAGCTCCTGGCGTCATTTGGCCTTATGATCTGGTGCTCGCATGCGTGGGGATTAAGAAGAGAAACAAAAGTTGTCTGCGGAACATACACAAAAGCGTTAACCCGAGTGTCTACTGATGTATGTGAGAAAATCATTATGGGGATGATCATCAGGACGACGGCAACATGTCAAAGTATTTCAAGATGTCTGCGATTTAAGAGCAAGCAACGGTAGCCCAGGTGGAATAACAAAGATGAGGTCAGGGCTGACTCACATTCAATGCCGTCTCCTGTACTTCCTGTCAAATAATAAGTTGAAGCACCCCACATGCCGTTTCCTCTTCTCAGACAGCACCCCTGTTTCTTGTCGGCAGCCCCTGGAAAACCTGTTTGTTGACAGTTTATCCCACTTTGTAAAGCTTGTCTACTGTGCAATCCAGGCAGTTTTCCAGGTAGCTGGCACCTTGTTTTCTTTTAGGCTTAACATTGCACACTTCTGTGATGATGTGTATCACATTTTGCTTTGGTCTGAGAAGCAGATTACCTCTGGAGTCCCCGGTAGGCTCAGTTCAGAGAAGCCAAATGTTCCAGAGAGCCTTCTCCAAAGAGGGAATCCTAAAGATTCCAGTGCTGCCCAAGCTCACCCATGGTACCACTCTGAGCAGAAGCAGGTGAGGAACTCTCCTCTCCCATTCCAGCCTTGAGCCAAAAAAGCTTGTCCATCACTGTGCAAAACCCACCCTGGCTTGAGAAATCAGTGTGTCTGGAGAGAAGCTGCCTCATTGCATGACAGGCTGTGCCTGGGCCTGGAAGGCTTTTCCTGCTTCAGTAGCCTCCATGTCCAGCCTCCCTTCTTTGTCCGCTGTGTGTTTGGGCCTCTGGTTCGATTCAGCCCCAACTCCAACTTGGCCGCCTTGATTTAGCTGACCCTCCTGCCTGGACAACTGGCCACTTCTATCAAGGCCTCTTTGGCTTTTCTAGGCACCCTCTTTTGAGAATGTCCCACACGTGATGGGCCCAGGGAGGGGGGTCTGGCACTCTGGGAATACTTCCCCAAATCATTTGATTATACCACCAAGGACTCAAGTCACTCATCTTCCACACCCTAAAGGACTGACTTATGAAACAGCAAAACCGTGTCTTTTAGAGGCAAAGGTCTTTCTAAATCATACGTATTCCACTTCAAGTTTTCTCACTGGAGCCCGACATGGGGCTTGAACTCACAACCCTGAGATCAAGACCTGAGCTAAAATCAAGAGTCCGATGCTTAACTGACTGAGCAACCCAGGCTCTCTCTCTCTCTTTTTTTTACATAGAAGAAACCAAATCTTTTCTACTTAACACACCACCCTGACAAAGTCCTTACTGGTTTTTGGTCAGCCTCCCCCACTGACTCATCTTTATTTTATGTGAAAAGGAAATGGAGTGCCACTTCAAAGTAGATTTCAGCTAATCAGATGTATTGAGAACAAAGGTAAGAAGCACCACAAAGACGCAAACTAGACTGTAATTAAGGAAAAGACAGCATTTATTACTGGAGTACTGAGCAAAATCAGAGAGCAACAAACAGAAGACATGACTTAAATCCCTGGTTTGCAACTGTGAGCTTAGGTAAGTTACTTAGGCACTTCAGGCAGTTTCCTCATTCACATAAAGGAAAAAAGGACCGGCGATTCTAGTCTTTCCTAGGCCCACCATTTTATAATTTTATGACCCAAATCAGTCTGAGATTATAAATTTCTATTCCATAAATTTATTTATAAGCCTAAAAAGAAATTAAAACATATGAAAATATAAATACTTAAAACCAAGGAATTTTAAAAATGCATTCCAAAGAAACACTTGTTATTCACTGCTATTAAGCATGAGTCTATTACAAACATCTCACTATTGAAGCTTAACATTTCACAAACAAAAAGTGGTATGATTTTAATAAGATTGCCTTTGGATCTCATTCCTCTTCACTATTTTGAGATTGTTTCTGTCTATCTGCTTATAATCTATCACTATATCTCCATATGTGTACACACACACACACACACATACACACACACACACACACGAAACGGGAAAAAGCAAAGAAGCACCAGGATTAGCTCTGACCAAAGAGGAAGAAATGGGACTTACAGGAGCTGCAGAGTTTTTGACTGTGACACTGGGCGTGGTGGCTCGCAGGGCTCCACTCACACCATGGTAGTATTTGAAGCAGATCTTAGTTTCAGCTGAAAAACAAAAATCAAATGGTACTGAGAAGCAGGGTATAATCCAGGGAGAGATAACCAGCTCCAGAGGGACAGCCCCAGGAAATGCCATGTAATTCCTCCCATGAGCCAAGCAGGCCACATCTGATGATGCTTATTCAACATGTGGCTCCATGGACAGGTCTGACATCTTTCTAAAAATGTGCCATCAAAAATTGCCCTTTGTACCCAAGTGAAATCCATTATTTCAACTTCTCAGCATCCATCCAATCCCATTAGAGGTTATTTGGAATTAACCCTTAATCCTAAGATTCTGGGCGGTTTGATGCCTACCACCAGTCTGTTCTGTGATTTTTGGTTATTTAATTCATTGTAATTGGTATCTTAGCAACTTGGAGGAGGACTTTGAGAAGTTACTGAAATACATGGATGGGAGGCATATTTTCCAAACTCTGATACACATCAGTGATAACCTCTTTGCATCACGGTTTGTTTTTCTTCAAAGTCCTATCTATGTAAGTAGAAAAGATGTGGCCTTGGGGGCCTACTCTGCCTGGGTTTGCTTTTTGGCTCCATTACTGACAATCTATGAGACAACAAGCAAGTCCCTTAACCTCCCTTACTCCATGTTCCTTGTAAAATAAATAGAACTAACAATAGTACCCACCTCATAAGGTATTGGATAAGCAAATAAAAGTTCTTAGAGTGCAAATAATGCATGATGAGCATGATGACTAAAGACAAAATCTGTGGCCAACCTGAGTCTAGTTCATTTGAAGGTGACTTGCTTTTCCCAATTTACTGTTTGTAGGATTTTTCCTTTAAATTTGAAAAATTTGCCAGGCTATGTGCTAGCCCCTTATATTAATTTTGTTTGGAACAACATGAGAAATCTCCAATTTGAGATCCTGTTTCTCAAATCTGGGAATTTGTCGATTGTAATGTTTCAAAACATAATGTCGACAATTTTCTTAGCATGAATTTTAGATATGTTCATTATGGAGAATATGGACAATGAAGAAAAGTATAAAAAAATCTTCTATGAGTGTTTTTATGTACATCTGAGAGTATAAGCTTTAATATTATATGCAATGTAGTAAAATAATAATGCAATAAAACTGCATTTTTAAAAATTAACATTAAACAATCAGGTTCAACTATCAAACCTTTGTTGATAACATTCTTTGTTTTATGGAATCATTGAATTGATTTGTAATTGTAAGTATTCCTGTAATTTTGAAAATTTGGGCTTTTCCCTAAAAATGACTGATTTTGAAAATTATGTTGAAGTTCAAGATTTCTCCATAGGATAATGGAGCAAAACTTGCTGGTTACCTACCCAACACCCATTCTCCCTTTCCTCCTTAATGACAAAATCTCAATTTTACTTTGGATGGTACTGTCCAGCTAAAGTACTTTATTTTGGAGCCTCCCTTGCATATAACATTTATGTTGTTTTCCACTGTTATTTTGGGGTTTCTGTTACCTGTAAACTTTACTATATATAGAAAGTTTTCTTGACATAGAAGATATGAGTACTGCAATATTATTCTTTAGAAGATGTGAATATTTTAAGGATTCTCCCTTCTTGTGCCCAAACTGCTTCCCAAAGAGCACTTTACACTTTCATCAGAAAATGTAGCTCTGACCATTTCATGGAACCCTTGTTAATATTGAGTATTATCAATTAAATGTAACTTTAAAGTAATATTTCGTTTTTATTTCATGTATTTGATTAGTAGTGAGATTAAACATTTTTTCATCAAATTTTAATTAGCCATTTGTATTTACTCTTTTTTATCCATTGAACTGTACTTGTCAAGACTTCCCACTGCCTGGATGATACCTGGGTGCTCACCTTTTAGTGGATATGCTCTTCCTTTAGATACATCAATACTTTCCAATTCCTTCCTAAGTCATTCTTTCCCTGCAGTGATTTTACATTATTGTCTATTGCCTTTTAAGCTCTTCTTGTGGACAATCTTCCAACCTAATTCTGCATTCTTCAGGGCACCTCACAGTTATCTGCACGTTGTTAGGTATACACATCCAGATCCACTACTACTTCAGCCTGAAAGGCAGATATCTTGTAGGTTAGGGATCACGGGGGACACTGAATAAAGCAGTGAGCCTATATAGCTAGGCAACCTCACTGAGCCAGTGCAATTTAAGTTCCTCTGCTTGTAGGTGCCAATGACATCAGCAAGGAGGGGCCAATGGCTTCACCTCAAGCACAGTTGGGTGGAAGAAAATTTTAGATAACAGGCATTCTAAACAGGCACTACTAGCTTTCCTTTCAAATAAAATTATTCCAATGCCTTTAAGTAAGAAAGGTCAGGGTAGATAAGAGCCATATGATCCTCAGAAAAAGCATTTGACAAAATACAGTATCCATTCTTGATTAAAAAAAAACAAACAAACAACAAAGTAGGGATAGATGCAACATACTTCAACATCATAAAGTCCATATATGAAAGACCCAGGGCTAATATCACCTTCAAAAGGGAAAAACTGAGAGCTTTTCCTCTACAGTCAGGAAGAAGACAGAGATGTCAACTCTTACCATTACTATTTAACACAGTACTGGAAGTCTTAGCCTCAGCAATCAGAAAACGAAAAGAAATAAAGGCAACCAAATTGGCAAGGGAGAGGTCAAATTTTCACTATTTACAGACAACACAGTACTCTATGTAGAAAACCCAAAAGACGCCACCCCCCAAATGCTACAACTAATACATGAATTCAGCAAAGTTGCAGGATATAAAATCAATGTACAGAAATCTGTTGCATTTCTATACACCAATAATGAGGCAGCAGAAAGAGAAATCAAGGAATTGATCCCATTTACAATTGTACCAAAACCCATAAGATACCTAGGGATAAATCTAACTAAAGAAGTAAAAGATCTGTACTCTGAAAACTATAGAATACTTATGAAAGAAATTGAAGAGGACACAAAGAAATGGAAAAGCATTCCATGCTCATGGATTAGAAGAGCAAACATTGTTAAAATGTCTATACTATCCAAAGCAATCAACACATTTAAGGCAATCCCTATCAAAACATGTAACATATACATTTTAATAATATTCTTCCAATCCATGAGCATGGAATGTCTTTCTATTTCTCTGTGCACCCTCATCAGTTTCTCTCATCAATGTTTTTTTTTTTTTTAAATTATATTTTGTTAGTTAATGTACAGAGCAATATTGATTTCTGGAGTAGAATTCAGTGATTCATCACTTATATACAACACCCGGTGCTTATTGCAAGTGCCCTCTTTAATACCCACCACCCATCTAGCCCATCCCCTATCCACCTCCCTCCATCAACCCTCAGTTAATTCTCTGTTGTTAAGAGTCACTTATGGCTTGTTTCCATCTCTCTTTTTCTTCTTTTCCCCCTTCCCATATGTTCATCTGTTTTCTTCCTTAAATTCCACATGAGTGAGATCATATGGTATTTGTCTTTCTTATTTCATTGAGCATAATACACTTTAACTCCATCTGTGTTGTTGCAAATGGCAAGATTTCCTTCTTTTTGATGGCTGAGTAATATTCCAGTGTGTGTGTGTGTGTGTGTGTGTGTACACATCTTCTTTATACATTCATCAGCAATGGACATTTGGGCTCTTTCCATAGTTTGGCTATTGTTGATAATGCTGCTATAAACATTGGGGTGCATATACCCCTTGAATCTGTATTTTTGCATCCTTTGGGTAAATACCTAGTAGTGCAATGGCTGGATTGTATGGTAGCTCTATTTTTAACTTCTTGAGGAACCTCCATACTGTTTTCCAGAGTGGCTGCCCCAGTTTGCATTCCCACCAACAATGTAAGAGGATTCCCCTTTCTCCACATCCTTGCCAATGCCTCTTGTTTCTTGTGTTGTTAATTTTAGCCATTTGACAAGTATGAGGTGGTATCACACCATGGTTTTGATTTGTATTTCCCTGATGATGAGTGAGGTTGAGCATCTTTTCATGGGTCTGTTAGCCATCTGGATATCTTCTTTGGAAAAATGTCTAGTCATGTCTTCTGCCCATTTCTTAACTGGATTTTTTTGGGGGGGGGTGTTGAGTTTGGTAAGTTCTTTATAGATTTTGGAAACTAACCCTTTATCAGATATGTCATTTGCAAATATCTTCTCCCATTTCATATGCTGCCTTTTAGTTTTGTTGATTGTTTCCTTCACTGTGCAGAAGCTTTTTATCTTTAGATAAAGTCCCAATAGTTCCTTTTTGCTTTTGTTTCCCTTGCCTCTGATGATGTGTCTAGTAAGAAGTTGCTATTAGCTGAGGTTAAAAAAATTGCTACCGGTGTTGTCCTCTAGGAATTTGATGGTTTCCTGTCTCACATTTAGGTCTTTAATCCATTTTGAATTTATTTTTGTGTATGGTGTAAGAAAGTGGTCCAGTTTCATTCTTCTGCATGTTGCTGTCCAGTTTTCCCAACACCATTTTGTTGAAGACACTGTCTTTTTTTTCCACTAGGTATTTTTCCTGCTTTGTCAAAGATTAGTTGACCATATAGTTGTGGGTCCCTTCCTGGGTTTTCTATTCTGTTCCACTGATCTGTGTGTCTGGTTTTGTGCCAGTATTATACTGTCTTAATGACACACATTTAATGCAATCCATATCAAAACACAAACAGCATTTGTCACAGAACTAGAGCAAAAGATCCTAAAATTTGTATGAAACCACAAAAAAATCCCTGAATAGGCAAAGCAATCTTAAAAAAGAAAAGCAAAGCTGGAGGAAGCACAATTCCAGACTTCAAGTTTTATTACAAAGCTGTAGTAATCAAAACGGTGTGGTGCTGGTACAAAAATAGACACATGGAACAGAATAGGAAACCCAGAAATGAACTCACAACCATATGGTCAATTAATATTCGACAAAGTAGGAAAGAATATCCAATGGAAAAAAGACAGTTTCTGCAACAAATTATATTGGGAAAACTGGACAGTAACATGCAAAGAAAGAAACTGGGTCACTTTCTTACACCATACACAAAAATAAA